GTATGTATTTTTATAAGTTTTATTTTAAACAATAATTTTCACTTGAAAATTTGTTACATGATAGCTGTATTACATTTGATGCTTTCTTGTCTACCACGAAAGCTTGTCTGGTTTTTGTTCCACGTAAATATGTTGCATTTTAAAATGCTATGTTCAATGTTTAATAAACTTACAAGTTAAACGTTAAATAACACTATTTAACTCTTACGTTAGTCGTACTATTTATAGAGGCATGTTGGAGGTAAAAGACATAAAAAATTTGTTATCAGAACATAGAAATATGTTACAAAAACCAACAATTCATGTATGTTAAAAAAAAGTTTTAATTATTAGTAAACAATACATATTGTGACAATAATTGGGGCCAACTGAATTTCTTGTCGAAATATAATTATTATATGTAAATATGAAACACGAAAAGTGTTCAGCCAACATTCAGTCTGCTCTACTATAAAGCTGATTAGAATGACAGCACAGTTTATCTTCGAAGTACTTATATAGCTCTTAAATACTTTTGGACTCTTTGACTTTATCATTCTTTTAGTGTACCTATTTTTTAGGCTATTATGTTATTCATATATTATTTTAGCCTTGATTATATTATTATTCTACTCTTCACACAGTAGTCTGTGAATATTATTATAGGTTTACTTTGTCCGATGTCACGGTTTTTGTCTGCATGATAAGTCAAACACAGAAAATGAAAATTTAAAGCAAAAACCAAGTAGGGACAAAGCCTATTGTTTATGAAAAAATCTGATTAAAAATAGAGGGTTGGATGAGTTGAAATTAAAACAAAATCCTAAATTAAAAAAGAAAAGCGATATCAACATGAAATATTTAGTAAAAATGAAACTCTATAAGAAGAGATAAAGCCTATTGATTCTGAAAATGATTGAAAATGGGGGTTAAGAGGGTCTGTTAAGCTGTGAAAATTATAATTTAGAATGCCACGCATTATATCATTCTAGTTTGTATCTGTGTAATATTATGTATTGTGATGGGACTGATCTTATAAAATACACATTTTAGTTCACTTGTTTTTTTGTCAATAAAGAGTATTTAAAAAATATGATTAAATTTACAATAAAATCTGAAAAAATGGTAGGTAAAGTTTAATGTAATAATGTTTTTTTCCACAAACATTAATGTCAATTTAAAAATAATCTCAAAATATGAAGAAAAGTCAGTTGACTAATAATGTTTATAGATGGTTTTCAACGTATTAAAAACAAAACAAATATAACAATAACTAAAATATTCATTCATTAATAGTTGTAGTGCTTGAAAACAGTATGATTTTGATGATGATGATGATAATAATAACTACACTTGTACAAGATTCTGAACCGAACTTACAAATGATAAAATTATTGGAAAAAGTGAACACCCATTTTAAATTACCACAAGCCGCCACTGAGTACGATAGAGATAGCAACATGTTTACAGTCATAGGTGCAAATGAGATGGGATATACGAAGTGATACGGAAGCCGACGCCGAAAGAACACGGTAAGTCAACAAGCGCGTGCTGTTTCAATTGATTGTTTTTATATTAATTGCTATAAGTTGATTATAAATCAATAGAAAAATCTGGTTGATGTTTTGTTATGATCTAAACACATTTTAAAAACTTTTATAAAGAGTAACTTTTTTTGTTTAGAAAGCCTGTTCAGCTAATTTCGAAGTGTAGATATAAAAAGTACCACTTTTTTTCGCAATTTTTTCCTAAGATAAAATCGAGAAAATTGCATTTTTAGTTTTTTTGGCCCGTAAGCCCCAATGGTTTTTTTAAATGTTTAAAATAATACATTTACGTAACTGGTAAAGGGACTTTTTGGATTTTGCGGTCATATTGTAGTAAAAGTTATACTTTATGCAATGGCACCAATATCTCGTTTTTGAAAATAGTGCCCATCTGCAAAGTCTAATTTTGGATTACCTCCGGTTTTAGAATCTCTGAAATATTAGTTTTCAATACATTAACAATTTAGCTTGTGACACTTAGCCCCCCACAGAAAGCATAATTTCGATTGACTAGCACTACACTATATTGTCCATAGAAATAGTATAGAAAGCCGATTCCATATATCAAAAATGAAACCATAAGGAGAAAATAGTGTGTCGGAGCTCATGCGTATAACGGTGCTGGCGCGAACAGGACCGGTGCAAGTTTTTTATTGATCGAACAAATAGTTCGCACGATATTTCAATCATACATTTTTAGAGATGATTCTATACAAAAAACGATTAAAAAAATTTCAAGTTAAGGTAAATATGGTTCTGACAGTCCTTATTAAGAAAGATATGGCATAAAATGTGAATTAGTTAATTTTCGGCAATCATTAGTACAGTAGTCATGAGATTTTGCTTGTGATTTTAAAAATACTTTCCAGAAAAACCACGTGCTCCAGTTTTGACTACGTTTATTATTAAACAGCGAAATTATATACAAAAACTTTAATCCACAATCTAAATTAGGTACTATCACAAGAAAATCACTGTTACAATAATTAATTACTTAACCAAAAACTAAAATACTTTTTAGGTACCTACGTAACCAGAAAGGAGCTGGACCATTTATCCTAATATTGATTTTCTCTCTCCCTACGGTAAAACTTAAAACAATAACAAATTGCCTATCTACTAGGGTCGGTAACTAAACGTATATACATAATGGGCGGATTTTGTTTATACTTAACATTACACTCGCGCATTTAAATATAACTATGCATATAAATATTTACAAAGATACTTTTCCAAACAGGCAATCATTAGTACTGTAGTCACGAGATTTTGCTTGTGATTTGACATCTTATTTGATAATATCATTTGCTACAACTAAATTTAATCTGGGGAGTGCAAAATAGGGCCCAGGAATATTATGTTCGATATTTTTTTACATTTTGTCAGCCGAGACTATGAGTCGTTAGACAGAAAACCTTTCATGTTACCATTTTCAATATAAATTAAAAAATTAAAAAATACTACTACATTTACTTGGTACATATTTTATTTTAATTTTGAACCCTTTTAAAAGGGTCTTTCGGTTCCATAATAAAAATTAGTTGCTGCTTACTAGAAACATTCTATATAGCCTAAACCAATTTATAGTTTGTTTTCGATCAATTTAATACAAAGATTTAAAGTTTTTAGTCGATGATAACATTCCACACCAGCACATTGCAAACCTATTTTATAAATAATAGGAATAAACTTGTAAATCATTAATTTGGTAGTTATCTCACTCATATGATTTTTTGTTTATATGAATATTTCGATGTCTAAATATATTTTGGCCTTACAATACGAAGCGTTTTGTATCTACCACTTTTTTTATGAACGATGAATGTTGACAGGCGTGTACCTTTTTCGGAACAAGAGGCGTTTTAACGAAGGAAATGATTTTCGAACTATCTAGTTAGTTTTCGGAAAAATAGAAAACGTTTGAAGAAAGTTGTCAATAACAGTTTGTCGTTCATGTGTTTCATTTTGATCAGCTTTCATACTAAATTGCGTAGAATATTTTTCCGATTCAAAATCGAGATTCTCGATATTTCCACAGTTTATTTATAATACCTTCTAAACTGGATTTATCTATCATTTTATATACTTTATAATATATGTTCATGCCCTACTTTTCACTTTATTAACAAGTTTTTTTTAACATACTTCAAAATGGTAGGATATTCTCAATTCGTTGAAATATTTTTTTATGTATGTTGAGCGATAATTCTTTACCACGTTGCCCGATTTCTAGGATTCTTTTTGTTAGAAAAGAAAACAGTTTTATATACATTAAGTCAAGATCTGAAGATGGGATCCATAAGAAAATCATTAACATCTTTATTTTTAAAGTAGGTTTTTTTTTTAAATTTCTTTAAACCTTACTGGTTCGAACGCCGTAAGGAATGAAGAAACGTAAATAATTGTTGTGCCAGCCAAAAAACGAAGAGGAAGTACCGATTAAAATATCGAGTGACAGAAGAGTTCCTAAGATTGTTGAGATCGGGTTTATGTTTTAAAATGCCTTAAAACCGATATCGATAATGTCTCCCCGTCGCTGGGCAGCCTGTATATAAATATACAGATCTCTATTTACATAATTATAATTCTTAGGTAGGTTTAGATTTGCAGACATAAATCTTGTAATAAATATAACAGCTGCCTAATACATTGATTACATTTTCATTAGCCAATGTAAAAATGTCTTTTATTGTACCTAGGATTTGACTAAACACTACACAAAACTAAAAATAAAATGCCACTTTCATCGTGTAATTAATGCCGCGTTTGAGAATCCACATCGGATGCATTTTTTACATCTCGAGCGTTTTTTATCCACATCGGACACATCTGTCCCATTACATTTACGTATACTGAATCACGTGATCAAAGATTTACTACTTACTACATCTCAGATGCATCCGATGTGGATTCTCAAACGCGGCATAAATAATAAACTACAAACACAAACGGTCCTGTAAGGGCAGCGTCATATAGCCTTGAAACACCGGATTTTACTGCTATTGCCAGGTCAATATTGAATTTGTAGGTGAATCGCTTATTGAACATTAAAAATACGGTATTAATGACATTAATACGGTATTTGTATATATTTTTGGGAATGTAATTACACATAAATATTATTAGTTGATTATTTAAATGTTTATAAGTTATTTTGTGGCGATATTTCGTAGATATAAACTGTTTAAATCATATAATTTAAAAATTAATTAATTTAAAATTCTTTTCTGTTAGGTCTGTTTAATATATTTGGCAACACTACAGGGACAAGTCATGCTTATTGCGCAAGCTTCTAGACACACTATTTTGCGATGTCAGGCGCAGAGACGCGTTTTTATGCACAGTAGGTTTCAATTTCTGCTTAAATGTTATGTTTATATTGGTCTTCTATATTATTTCTATGATATTGTCTCATTAAATTCAAGAAGATTGCAACGTTACTACAAATACTTTCTCTGAAATTTATTTACTTACTTTTTTCAGGCTGAACCCAATTTGTAAATAAATCTTCCTCTTGTCTTGACTCGTAAATTAACAACTCAACGCAGCCCAATTCCTCTAAAATCTGAAAGAAACAAAAACACATTCATTACAGTATGACAAGATTGAGATGTACACTATCAAATTTAAAAATGGGAAGAGTTATCTCAGTTAACACAAGTGAATTCAAATAGATCACTGAAACAATAGCATCGAAGTTCAGCCATTAACTGAGATAACTCCTCGTATTTTTAGATTTGCAATCTCAATCTTGTCGTACTGTAATTTGAATTAGAAAGCAAAATATTCGTAACGCACCTGTACAATATAAAACAAATCCACCGGTTTTATGTAACAATATTTGTCGCACATTTTCGCAAATGTTACATTCGGAAAATCCAATGTGTAAGATAAAACATTACTTATCCAGTTTTTCAAAACTAATTTATCGAGCTGTCCGTTAACACCTACCCAAGGCATTAGTTTCATTCTTGCTGCCGTCGGTAACCTAAAACCACGTTCAAAATTAATAATAATAATGTAATTTCGCCAAACAACATTTAAAAAAAGGACACTAAATTATACCAACAATTTTTACTAACTGCAGAAAAAAATAAGAAATTTTTTATTATTTTTTTTTTTACGTTTTGGAGTCCCCTGAATCCGTCTGCATATTTGTAAGTAGCAGACGCAACATAAAATCGTGAAATGGCGAACTGCAATTTGTATGTAACAGACTTAGTACAACCAAAACTGCTAACACATCTCCTACATACGCGTGATTGATTATTATAGCGCAAAACAAAGCACTGCTCTATTTGTCAATAATATGAATGAAATAAGTGATATTTGGTTTCCCAAGCTGTATGATTGGAAGGTAATTAATAAATCTACCTACAAATTAAGAATTAAAACAAAAGAAGATGTAGAGGTATGTTAACAAAATTTCTAGGTTATGTTTTTGGGCGCTTAACGCTCTGATATGTATAAAAGCCTGACGAGGACTCTTTTTGGTAACGTTTTTTTGAGGAGCATGGAGATTATTTTATATTTTTTCGTGTATTGAAGGTGTGTTTCTTGGGTTTTAAACTGTAATTTATATTATTTTTTCGGTTGATAAGTATATTTATATCTAAAAGCGTATAGTGAAAGGTTTAGCCATAAGGGCAGCGATGATTTAAAAATTCATCAGACTCGTACAAAGTAATAATTATTGATAGACACATCATTAATTAAACTGAGAACAGAAATTGATTTATCACAAAAAATGCGATGTTGCCATGTAAAATATGCAGGGTTATCGTTCTAAAACCTGAGATTGGCACTGCATTCAAATATAAAGGCATTTCTTCAAAAAATAGGAGTTCTGCCATAGCAACTCGCCGCAAAATTCCTATTCAACCAACGTCAGTAGCAGGAAGCAAAATGGGAGGAAAAAATATCTTTTCTGGAAGAAAATCTTTTAGACACAGTGGGAAAAAAAGCAGCACATTCGTTAAAAATTTGTGTAGAAAAAAACGTAGGGCTTGGTGATAATAAATTCCGAAAATAAGGTTTTTCTGGTTTTTTATTAATTTGTTGTTAGTAGTAATATTAATAAATTAGCCATTAAGTTTTTTAAGATCTCACTACCATCATAAATAATTTACTAAGAGATGTAAATAAATTAGTAAATTTTACTAAGCATCCTTGTGTCTTTCTTATTCTTTTTAATCGGTTAGTTATCTGAAGGCATGATTTTTGATTTAATCGTTGTGTATGTAACAGACGCGTTACTAGTTTTAGTTGGAATACGTCTGCTACATACGAATTACTCTTCGGCAATTTCCGAATGTTAATAGATTGTATTCTGCGTCCGTTACATACAAATATGCAATCCGTCTTGACTAATTTCGCGTGATGTCTCTTCAACCGATGCAGATAAAAACACCAAATTTTCAACTTAAGCTTTGAACCAACAGTGAGATGATTAGATTTTGGGCATAGTCTAAAGGGTACTTTATAGGGGCCGATTTTCTACTTTATGGAGTATATCTGTTATTTACGAGGAGAAAATTATTCAAATAAAAGTTGTTTGTAATGTCATTCTCGCATACATAATTTCTCTAGAATAAATCGTATTTGAGAAAAGTGCAAATTTGGAATTTTGAAGATAACACAAAAACGGACCAAGAAAAAAACACCAAGTTTTAAATTTAACACGTCGAGTACGAGTACAGTTCATCAAATTTCTAGAGGCTTTCGACGGCTAGATAGAGAAAGCACTACTGAGAGGCATCGGTTGCGGGGCCGACGGATTTACGCAATGAAAGTACACTCTGCGCATCAAGTATTTCACTATTTTATTCAGACGTAAATGTCAGATGTAAATTTCGCTAAAACATTTCTTTTATTTTCGTTTGTGTTTTTTGCTCATTACAGTTTAATAGAACCTAAGTATGGAGTTTAATAGCAAATTAAGAGGCCGCGTGATTAACAATCAAGCTCGCGAAATAATAGCCAATGTTATAGAGTTTATGAGAAGAGAAGGAAACTTTAATTCACCTTCAATACCATTTAAAAATGTAAATGATCGTGTTGCTGCAGCCACAGGAGTATCTAAAAACACTGTCGTCCGCATTTCTGGAGAGAAAAAAAGAATCGATAACCGTGAGATATCGGAATTTTCATCACCAAGAAAAACCATTAAAAAACCAAAAACAGTTAATGATATAGATGAAGCTGACAAAGGTATTTTAAAAAGAATTATTCTGTTCATGTTAATCTCGGAAAATATTGTTCCAACATTAAAAACAATTCTGACTAAATTTAGAGAAGCTACAGGGTACAAAGGAAGCTATGAAAGTTTAAGAAAAATAATAAAGTCGCTAGGATTTCGTTGGCGGAAAACAAAAACAAACAGAAAAATATTAATGGAAAGGTTTGATATTCAAAAGCTACGTTTAGACTATCTGATTCGTTTAAAAAGTTATCGAGCAGAGGGCCGTCCAATTGTCTACTTCGATGAAACATACATTCATGCCTCCCACACACACCAGAAAGCTTGGAGTGATAATTCAAATGAGGGATTAAAGAAACCAATTAATAAAGGTGATAGACTAATTATTGTCCATGCAGGAGGTGAAATGGGCTTTATTCCGAATGCCCGGTTAATTTTCAAATCTGGAACCAAAAGTGGAGACTACCACGATGAAATGAATTTTAATAATTTTTCTAAATGGTTGAAAGAAAAGCTTTTTCCGAACCTCCCTCCAAGAAGCGTCATTATTGTTGATAATGCTCCTTACCATAATGTCCAGGTAAATAAAGCACCAACGTCAACTTCTAAAAAAGCTGACATGCAGGATTGGTTAAGGAATCATAATATTGCTTACGAAGAGGATATGCTCAAAACGCAATTATACAGTTTAGTGCTATTGCATAAGTCACGATTTAAGAGGTATGCAATTGAAGAAATGATAAATGAACATTGTTTTAGTTGTTTGCGATTGCCACCGTATCATCCCGATCTTAATCCGATCGAATTAGTGTGGGCATCATTGACACAATATGTAGCTAGTAACAACACTACATTTAAGAGGCAAGACGTACAACTGTTGTGTGAAGACTTTTTTGATACGTTTTCTAAAGAGGAGTGGCAATCTCGTTGTAATAATGCTAAAATGTGGGAATCTAAATTTTATGACAGAGAAGTTACTTTGGATGAGGCAACTGATAGATTTATAATTAACTTAAACAGTGACAGTGAGACTGATTTTGAATCTGATATGGAAACTGAAGAAAGTTTTTCGGAAGACCATTAAAATTATATCTGTACCTAAGATCAAAAAAGTATTATCTATTTTTACAACGAAGATGCACAAGAATCAAATTTTATTTTTTTATTATTAGATAGCTATTTTTGTTTCTGAGTTGTGTTCATTTACAGGCTCAATTTTTTCCGTTTCTCCTTTTTGATTTTATATGGGGTTTCAAGTTGTTTTTGACTTATTTCGACGTAAATCACATTTTTAATAAAGCAAACAAGTGTTAAGAGGTATATGTACGTGTAAACTACAATTACAAAAAATTGATATGAAACCCATGAAACCACCAACAAAAATGTAAAGCTAGCTTCCGTACTAGAACATGGTGTCATTCGTCGAGATAATTTATCGTTTTGTTTAATAGATCAAGAAATGTAAATATTCCCCTGTTATTTTTTATAAAATTATAAGAGAAATAAATTTTTTTCTAAATAGTATAGTTTATTTTGTAGAAAAACAAAATTTCGAAAATTTTAGTAATGTTTCAGAAACAACCGTTATTAATAATAGGTACCATTTTCCTTAATAAGGTAGAAATAAAATATAAACTATTTCCACGATTTACAAACGCCTACAAAAAAATTATAGGTATTTTCCGCTATCCTATAAAATTTATATTTTCTGACTCAATTTCAAAAGGTTGAAGGAATTCCAAAACACCTTTTATGGCATAATAATTATTTTCAATTCTACATACTATCTTTAGCTGCTTTTAAAAACGTTCTAAGAAAGTCCAATCAGACCAATTTAATCCCTAAACTATAACACACTTTTAAAATTTATTTACCTAAAAATATTAAAAACTATTTAAAATAACTTGTTTAGCAGACTGTACAATAGCTATCTTAGTCACACATAGCGCGTTCTCTGTCTGGGCGTCGAACACCTCTAGAAATTTGATGAACTGTACTCTTAAAGTTTTTGTCAAACATTCATTTTTTTTTCTTTTGTAATGCCTTGATGGGTCCCTAGGCGAGAAGCGAGTGTCCCCGTTTAATCCTCTTGTTATTTGAAATGAAATATTTAATGATTTACCTCTTTTTATCTCATTTTGTGACTGGCTGTATGACAAAAGAGTCAGAATTTGTTTCTCATTTTCAAAGCAAGCTAAACTTTTCTATTATTAAAGACGGCTAAGAGCAAGTTCTTTTGTTTATAGCATTATAGCGAGGCGTACTATAAAATAACGCCGTCCTTGTTAATTTTCCGACTGTGGCATCATAGTGATGCCTAGCAGCCTCAAAAAGGACAAGCAATGAGGCATCCGTTAAATGCCACACCGTACTTAACGTGTCAAGCTTTAATCCATCCTGCGGGAAACAGATAAAATTTTGGGAATAGTCGAAACATCTGGGGGTACTTTATAGGGGATCGTTTTATTACTCTGTGGAATATATCTGTTATTTACGCTTGGAGCTGAAAATTCTTTATGTAAATGTTGCTTGTAATGTTATTATCCATAATTTTTGTCTTATACAAAATTTTTCTAAACTGGTCCGTATTTGAGAAATTTGACAAAATGTAAAAATATCAACTTTTTAAAAATTTTTCCAAATAAAAGTTGTTTGTGATATGATTCTCTATAATTCTTGTCCCATACATAATTTCTCTAAAATGGACCGTATTCGAGATATTTGAGAAATTTATGAAAAAAAAACACCAAATTTAAAATTTAGGCTTTAATCCATCCTACGGTAAGCTG